ATTCCTGACTCTATTTTTGACAAAGGATGTTTAACCAGGAATACCTTCGCATCTCAGCATAATTTATATCTTGGCCATTTGCATATTTTCTCTGTTCCCTTCCTCCAGCTTTCTCTCCTTCCCTTACTTGTCCTTACATGCACACAACTCTGAAAAAAAAAAAGGGGGAGGATGGGGAAATGAAGCTAAAACCATCATCATACACCATAAATAAAACTCAGTAACAGAAGAAATGGTTGCTTGGCAAATATTTTACATAAAACAATTCTGAAACCAAGAAAACTACTGTAATTACTACTGCAGCTAAAAATCTTGTTACTCAGTTACTGGATAAGGAGTTTTTAAGTGCCACCCTTTCAAACTCCACTTTTAGGGTTCCCTTAGGATGGGGCTCACCACAGAAAGGATGCTCAGTGTGTTCTGCCAAGGTATCACACACCCTCTGAGCAGAGAGCTGGGGAGAAATGATCTTTGTACAGTTATATTTTACTTTATTAATTGATTAATTTTACCTTTTTTCCAGGTAAGACATGTTCAGTCATAAAGCCTAGTATAGTCACAGTGACCGTAAGTACCTCATGCAGTACGAGCACACAGCTCCCTGTCTGAGCTGACTCGTTTTGCCACCCCAGGAACGGAATCATGGGCTGAAGCAAATGAGCAGGGCTGCAGGGACAGTCCTGTGCCTGGACTGCCAGCAGCCCCAAAGTGCTGGGTTGTCATGACATCACTTTTCTCCCTTGCTGTATCACATGCAGGCTCATTCTTCTGCTGTTTTTCTAGTTATTGATAAGATTTCCTGACAATAGTTGTACATATTATGTTTGTCCCTATTACAGTATAGACTAAAAAGGACAGAGTAACGTCCCATAAGTAGTTGAACAATGAGTGGAAAATGGTAGCAGACTATTTTCCTCAAGGTAGTCGAGTATGATAGAGGTAAGGAAAGAACAGCTGAGAGTCTTATTTCCATCCATGCTTTTTCCCCAGGGTAGAGTGCAGCCACACGTTGTGAAGGTCTGGCTGTGTGACTGCCCCGACAGCCAAGGAGTGTGTACCCCGCGGGTGTCCTCCTCCGGGGAGGCAGCTCCTCCATCATTGCTGCAGAGGTTTGCTGGAGCTTCAGATTGCTGGGCAATCAGCCCTAGGATCTTTTGAGTGAGGTCCAGAGCACCAAGCAGAAAGTAGTGATACAAATTACAAGTAAGTGACTTGTGGCATCTTGACAACCAGCCTCCTTTTTTTTTTTTTTTTTTTTAAGCTTTTTTCCATCATGCCTACAGAGAGGCTCAGCCCGCTGCCTGCCTCAGCACACAGGAGAAAATTTGGTGGGGCTGTGATTGACAGGGCCATGGTGTCCTGTCAGGGAGGCTATGTTTTAGAAATAGTTTAGTTTCTTTGGGAAATTGCAATGGGATAGCTTCCAGTAAGCTGCACTGAAAGTGCCTTTCAAACATAGGGATGCTCATCCTCTTCCATTCCCTTTCCTTCTATTAGCCATTTGCAATTTTCATGGGGAGACAGAGAGGTGTCTGTTATTTCCCAGTCTATGCTTTTCTTCCCTCTCTCCCCTCTCCCTGTGTTTCACCACTGAAATATCTCAGCAATGCCAGGAGGCTGGTATGCCTGGGAAGGGTAAGAATAGTCTACAATGGCAGAGATTGCTCCTGTTGTTGTTTGTCTGTTTGCAGTTGTCTGGACAGAGGATCCACGAAAGAGGTAGGAGCAATTGGATCTGAGAAGCTAGAGCTTTTGCAAGACAAACTGTTAAAGCCTGCAGAAGATTTGTTCCAACATGCAGAGCTAGCAGTCCTGTTCAAATCATCAAAAAAAGCCCTCATCAATACATTACTGTGGCTGGGTTTCTCATTTCCATCCTTGACCCATATCAAAAATGCCTTTTCTTTTTTTCCTTTTTTTTTTCCCCCTTCCTGTTTTCCCTTTTTAGGTCTAGTCTTCTTTGGAAATGCCAAAATTATTAGGATATCAGGAGCTGGAAGCGTTGTGAACCCGTTCAAACATGGAGCGCTGGGACTCACTGGGATTTTTGATTGTCACACTCAACTATAATGTGACTATTATAGGTAAGTACTTTAAAAAAGCTCTCTTCTTTCTTTTGCTGCTCCAAATCCTGGAGCCACCTGAGTGTCCTACTGATAATTAACTTTAATTTCTAGCTATCTCTTGGTGAGCCATGCAATTATTTAGGTACATGATATGAGTAGTTAATGTTTTTCTTTTCTTGTTAAACAGATTTCTATTCTCTCTCTGATAGATATTTTCTGAACTTTATATTAAAAATTCTGGCAGGGTTTTCAAATTTGGCTCCTCTTTGTGCCTAAGATTCCAATCATCTCTAATGGCTGTTGTAGGCATCATGGTGAAAACACACAGAAGTAACACTTTATTCACATGACATAAAGTGAGCAGTAGAATGTACACAGTAGCTTTAGTGATGAATTAAAAAGTTTAAAGAAGGAAAACAAAACCCTCCTCTCTTTTGCAGTAAGAAGTTTGTGGTTTATTAATGTTGTGAATTATCATTGCTTTTCATTCGTTATTTTTATAAACGAACAAAGTTCACATGCATTTAAAACCAAAACAAATTACAGTTGTTTTTTCCTCAGCTAACAGTTGCCTGAGTGCTTTTTTTGTTTTCCTTCTAATTTAAATAAGACACTGTTCCTTTTTCATGGGCTACTTTGAGCAAAGTATGAGCCAGAGAAAATTTTCAAGGGTCTTTCAAAGACCTGACACCTCCAGAGACAGCTGCTGTAGTTTGTGCTGTGCATTGCAGGCAACATCCAACTAAGCTGCAGGAGGGACGGTGAAGGGGCTTGTTCTAGTATGCTTAATCAAGACTTAGTCGTTAGAGAAGGTGATGCGTAGAGGGGTTATCTCTAAAATGTGTGTCATACTAAACTACTTCCTAAGAAGCCATTGATTTTTCTTAAGCAGCACTCCCTGTTGTACATGTTCTAATTAAAAATTGATGGTGAAATAGCACATAGTATTTTGAGCTTAATTAAATAATGTGCTTCAAACACTTTGAGGTCCTCACAGAGAAAAAAAGCTACCTAAGTATGAAACACCACTTGCTAAAGATGACTGATTCTGTCCAGCTGGTGTTTTCTATTGACCCATGCTATGTTGAAAAGTGAGTAACAGTACAGCCCATCACCAATATGCAGGATACTGAAAACAAAACTCACTGAAGTTCACATGATTAGAGATCTCTACATATTCAGTACAATAATACGTATCACACAATATTGCATGAATATTTTAGATTCATACCAACTACAGAGAAATAGCTTTATAGGAAATAGAAAAGAATGTTGTTCAAGACAATACCTGTAAATAAGCATATATTTTATAGGAAAAAATGCTTTGAGATCTGGATTCTTAGAATGTGTATTGGTGCTGTTTCACAGACTGACTTTAAAACATTGTGTGCATGTGAGATGTATAATCATTGTTAATGACTTGAGGTTTTCAGTGCATTTCTCAACTATTAATTCCATATAACATACTTCTCTTTAGTCAATGAGTCTTGCTGTTTGTCTGTTTGTGGTTACAACTGATTTCTCAACCATTCCTTAAAGCACAGAATTATCTTATTGCTCTTTCCTGTTTTGTGTTTTGGTTTGTTTTCTTTTTGTTCCTAAGTGTGTTTTTTTCTCTTTTCTTGGCATGTTTTAAAAATATATGAAGTTAAAGCAAGGGATTATTAAATTAAATTACTTTTTCAAAACCATGTCAGGAACCAGTGACAGCACTCAAAAAGAGACTTGAGAAATTCAAGGGCTAAACTTAACTTCATGTGTTTTTTTTCCACGTGTTTGTACAGAATATATTTTTAATTTTTAACAATATCACAGTTTATTTTTAGGCTTTCCTATCCTGCCCAGGAAAAGGATTTATTTTTCTCCTTTTTTCTCTTTCTTCTCCCTTTCTTCTCTCTTTCTTCTCCCTTTTTCTTATTCTTTTCCTTTTTTTTTTTTATTTTTATTAAATGAAGAGCTTTGTCAGTAGTACCACAGTGTGAGTAACTTTTCAAAAAACTTTTAACAAAAACCTACCCCATCCAAAAATCCTCAAAGAAACTATCATGAACTGTCAGCCTCATTCAAGGATATGATATGGAGGGTAACAATGCCTGACCTTTCACTGCTGTTGGTGTAATGGAATACAGATAAGAGCTGATCTTTCGCACCAAAGTGGAGGAGACCAAGCCCTACCTAAAGCAATCATATGAAAGAATTCAGGGAAAGATCATTAAAAGTAAGCAATGTATGAAAATGCCAAACTTGTAAGGCTTCACTTGGTGTTGGCATCAACACAGAAGGGAGCTTCTGCTCTGAAAGGAGAGAGAAGCTGCACACTGAGGTGAACAGAGGTTGGAAAACATGATCAAGATAGGGCAACCAAAGAAGCAGTAGAGAGAAATGGGCAGGGTACACGTGTGCCCATAGAAATGTACATTTGTAGGACATTTTGCATAAGTTTGCTGGTAGCTCCTGTTAACTAGCTCACACTAAATACCAGTCTAGACACAGCAGAGATTTTGTTGACTGTGGCAAACTTTTACAACCAAGAACAAGTTTTATGTCATGAAACAGTCTTTTGTATCTAGAAGAGTTTCACACTGTGTTAACAGAACTATATTATTGAAATAGGACAAAAATCAGGTGCAGGTGAATGTTCCTTCCTTGTTCCTTCCAACAACAAGGAAGGACTGTGAGTGAAATGGGATTATTTGATCAATTGTGAACTCTTTTTGTCAGATTTGAACATGTTCAGAGTGTTTTCATTAGGCTGAAGTTTCAATTGACATGGCTTATTGTATGTCAAACTGTCCAGTCCAAATGAAGGTTATGGAATGTGTCAGCTAACACATTTTCACACAAGTTTCAGTCTTAGTAAAAAAAAAAAAAAAAGCTAAAGAGAAGCTTTTAGGAGAGGAGTCTGATTATAGAGGCTATTTCTTCAGATGTCTTGTGTATAGAAAGAGCATCATTGCATTACATGCCTTCCTTTCCTTCTCAGTGCTCTGACTCTTTTTTCTTACCTTCTCTTCTAGGAAAGATCTGGCTAATGTTAATAATTCTGCTGCGAATGGCAGTGGTAGTGTTAGCAGGCTATCCGCTCTACCAAGACGAGCAGGAGCGCTTCGTCTGCAACACCCTGCAACCAGGATGCTCCAATGTTTGCTATGACTTGTTCTCTCCTGTATCTCACTTTAGATTCTGGCTCATTCAGACTGTGTCTATCCTGTTACCTTATGCTGCATTCAGCATTTACGTTTTGCACAAGGTAGCTATGTACATTGTAAGAATGCACTGTTTGGTGCATGGATGCAAAGGGAATAAGGGTTTATCAAGCCCCAAAGACCTGAAGGAGCTCTGTAGAAGTGCAGTTGTCAATAGATTAGATTGTGGTGCAGAGAACCTAAGGGTCCTGAATTTTTCTGGGGCATATACTCTTCATCTTTTTTTTAGGATGTTACTTGAGGCCGCCTTTGCAGCTGCGCAGTATTTTCTTTTTGGATTTTTTGTTCCTGAGCGCTTTTCCTGCTACCATTCACCTTGTACAAGCACAGTTGACTGTTACATCTCCCGGCCCACTGAGAAATCCATCATGATGATTTTCATCTGGGGAGTCAGCAGTCTATCCTTTCTGCTTAGCCTTGCTGATCTTGTTTGTGCTCTCCAGAGAATGACAGCAAGAAACCCAAAGAAAAAGCTGCTGGCCAACCTCCAGGTAGAGAATGAGTGCATTTTAGGTCTTTCCCCAGTACAGCCTGGTAGCTCTTCTCTACCTCAAAACCAGGACTGTCCAGTATCAAATAGCAGCCAGACCAGTGATGGTTCCTGTTCACTTCTCTCTGAAGAGGAAGATGAAGTTGTTCTTCATGCAGAAGTGGTCTCTCAGCAAACTGCCAGCACTAACCTTAACAGCAATAAGCCCTGTATATTAGAAGATCTTGCTGTTAAGCAAGATAGCACTGAAGAGCCTTTGTGTGCTGGTGACCACCAAGGAACTACATGCAGGCAAGTGAGACCCAGGCTTCAGCAAGACTTCATTAAGGATACGTCCCTGACTTTGAGACCTCAGATCAAATCTCACCTTGGAGTTTCTTCCACTGTAGTTCCGAGCAAGCTTTTAGGATATTACCCTTCAGCTGAGCTAAAAACCCCTGATGCACAATCAAATTATAGCAGTACTAGTTGCTTGAGGTCAAAAAAATCAGAATGGGTATAGAGCTCTGAGTGAACACCTCCCCGTGACCCTGGCAGGACACATCATTGCATCACTGAGGAGGTTCCAATAGTTTCTGCTGGATCCCTTGGCTGAGGTTATGCTACAGAGAGACTCTACTATGCTGTGTTCCTCCATTGAAGAGGAAGCAAAAACCTCAGATAAGAGTTTGAAGGACATTATATTAAGGGAACTGTTCTTTGGAAAACATAACATTTTAATGTTTTTCTGTGTGTAAGTGACTTTATAAAGCTGTAGACTGTTGCTAATGTGACTGACTTGGTTTTCCAGGAGTAAGTGTGAACACTTGTTTAGCCTAACCTAGTTTTATTGCAAAAGATTGAGCTTAGGAAAGACGTGACTTTTAAACACAGTTGTACATTGTCTACTGTCAGAAGGTTAATTTGTCTCCTCATACTAAATCTCTAAGCCCACTCTAAGAAAGGATATTCAAGCAAGAAGAGTAGACAGTGAATAAAATAAAAATATATGTATTGTAGCAAAGTATTAACGTGTAAAAAACCCCTTGGATCTCACTGATTAGAAGGTTATACCTATCCTAATTAGTAACACCATGGCTGTACCTCTCTCTGACCCTGAGGTCAACTGCCACAGTCAGACCATGTCTGAGTTATTTAACTCCATTAACCCCCAAAACAGGGTGGCTGCATCCAGATTAGCTGTTGGTCCTGTGCTCAAGAATTGCTCAGGAGATGACTAGGAGGTGTGGGTCAGAAGTGTGTCAAGGAGTGCTTTAGCAGCTTGACAGTGCAGGGGTCTGAGCTCCAGTGCCCATGCCCTGGGCACTAGTGCAGATGTACGTCAGTGCAAACATCCTGCTGACATGTCTACAAGGTGTTAACGTGTCTCAATCTGAAATAGTCACACCAGGGTCTTGATTTCAGTAGGGGGAATGAGTCACTCGACCCTGTTTTAGGCATCTCTGAAGGTAAGATGAGTCACTTTCTAGGTATACTTATTTCTCCCACAATGTGATTATCTCAGATCTGGGCTTAGGGAAAATGGTTTCTATCCCAAGAGAATGATATAGTGGCAATGTCTATATCAAAGTGCTCACCCTCTTTGTCTGTCAGCGTTCTAATGCTAATAATTTGAAAACATGTCTAAATTGAGTGAATCACAGAAGATTTTATTACTGTCATGCTTTGTGCTGTCAATGTTAATTCTGTTGCATTTACATAAGCACGGTCCAGCACTGAAACACAGCCGTGCGTCAGCTAAATTTTCTTTTAGCTACAAGTCAGTGGGGGGTTGAAGGTTGCATACACCTGCAGATCATCAGTGGGAGTGGATGTGGAGGAGCATGTACTCAGAGAAATGTACTGGTGGTAGTGTCTTACAAAACAGATTATTCAGAGAGCAGCAAGAGCTGGTATTTGTAGACACTACTTGGAGCTAGAGTTGCTACCTCTCCATTTAGACTCATGCAAAGGGGAAAACAGGCACAGACCCAGTCTTGCTCCTACTTTGCTATGTAACAAGTCTCTCTAATGACTTAATGGCTGTCTCCTCTGCAGAACATCAAAGGACAACAGTTTTCACATTGTTCTTTTTCTCTCCTGTGGGTGCAGAAGTCTTTAAGACAGTTTGGCTCACAATGTCTGTATATAATTTTTCACATATGCACTTAATTATCCTCCGTTTTCTGTATCCTGTCAAAAATCAGGTAGCTTAATAGATGGACAGAACTGCTCTTTGGGTTGGGAAGCAGAATTTACTTCTGCCCGTGAAGTACTTTGGGATCCAGAGGTATGCTACAGAGATTTTTAATTACTACCTTCTAAGTAAAGTTTTCCTCTCTATTAGCTGTGTTTGTTTCTTTTATCATAGGTGCTTGTTGTGTGATTTATCATTTCCAGGGTAGGAACAGCATTAATTATTAAACTTTTCGTGGGCAGAAAAACATTAAATATTTAAACCTCTCATCCTCCAAAGCCTCTTTAACGGGATCTGTGCTGATTATACATACCATGACAAAACATTGCAACAATGAAACCTTTTATGATTCATTACATCTTCTCAGCTGTGAGAAGGAATGCAAGGAACAAATGTGGATTCAGTCTATCGTGTACATCCCTCAGTGTGAGATATAAATAGGGTAGGATAATAATAAGTGCATTGTGGCTGGACACAGTTTGCTTTTTTGTGTCTTTAGCTAGACATGTTTTAATGACTAAGGAGTCTTATTTCAAATCAGAAAGATCCTGATTGTGTCTGAAATGGAAAATTAAATTAGTGAACTTCTTCCTTATTCTATTTGTGGTCTCTTGGTGTGAGATCGTGGCCTTTGGTTTGTGTCACTCAGCTGCAGACCTGGCTGCTTTTAGGACTTGTGGACCCTTTGACTCATAATTCAGAGTCAGTGTAATAAGCACTTAATGTGTTTATGAAAACTGCATACTAAAAGAGCAGGATTTCTATGGGCTTTTCACTGTGGAGTCAATAGAAGTTTCTGGCATCAACAACCTGCTCCTAAGGGAATGTCTCCGAGTCTCTTCTAACAACCGTTTCCAAATCACATTTACTAATTACAAACACATGGATTTACAAACTGGGTGGCTCTACCAGTGAAGGAAGACCAAGGGAAGATGTATGAACATGTTTGAACTATTCTGAGCTTCAACAGCTCAAGCAAATGAGAAGAGATCGTTGGCAGGGGCATCCACTGTAGGGAGGAGGAAACAGGAAAGATCTGTTTGAAAGAACAAAGAGGATCACCTCTAATTTCTCCTTATATTCACTATCACTGAATGTTAAGGCACTGTGAAGATGTCTACTTGTCCTAGAAAGAGTGAGTAAAAGAAGTAATAGATGTGGAGCAAGGAAGCAGCAAGATTTTCTTCTCTTTAAGCAAAGATTTAGTCTTCTAAATTTATGAATTGGTTTCAGAAGTCCTTCTTGAATGTATTTCATACTCAGAAAAATGTTTCAAAAGCTTCTTGTTACATTTGCCAGTGTGTCTTTAAATCTTTTCTTAACCCACCTACTTCAGAAAAGCATTTCTAAAGATATGTTGAGAACACAGTGCTCCTAATCCTACCCTCAAGAAGCTTTGTCTTGCATTCAGACAAGGCTGCTGTAGCTGCAGCGCAGGCACCACTTGCACCCTGAGGTGGACTTATGGAACAATACATAAGCTCCAGTCTTGTGTGGTACTGAACATGAGACTATAAAGAAAGGAATTCAGCACTCTGGAAATAAGAGTTGGAACTGATTGGGAAATCTGTGATAAAATAGTTTTCACACAGGAAATAAATTTTTAATTGGAAAATTATAAAATGCCTAAACCCCCCTTTTTTTTTAGTATCTTCAACTGCATCATAGCACTTCTTTTGCTAAGTAACTATCTGCTAGTTTGCTGGAGATCCAGAATTTCCACGTTTTCCATGCAGTAAAATCAAGTATTACTGGGAGTTTCTGCAGTATCAGCATGATTTAAAGAATAAAAATATTTTTTTAACCCCTAAATAAGATAGTTTTTAAAAAAACTTTTCTGAATGAAATTTTTATATTTCTTTTGTTTAATTTGTAATATGTTTTTTAATAACAAAATAGAAATATAACCTCAAGTTTCACTCAGTTATAATCACTTTCTCCTCTTTCCTCACACTTTAGGCTGGGTCACTTTGATTTACTCTCATCAGCATAATGGAAATCTTTGACTCTCTCTTCTCTTACGAAACCCACTGTAAACAGGTGTCTAGAGAATGCATAATTTCCCCTTAGCAGCAGTTGTTCTCCATGAATCTCTCAGTTCAGACCAGGATAAGTATTAAATCTGAAGTTAACAATATAGAGAGATCCTTAGTGTATTCCTTCAAGTTATTAAAATTATGGGCCTTTATGTGATACATCATTATTACAGTGATTATCTTTCTAGAAAGATGATTAAAAAGGATATTCATTGCACATTATTTTATTTTAATGTCATGATTACAATGGAGAACAGATAAATTATTACTGCTTGTAGTATTTTAGGGTGATAAAGAAATGCATCTCCAAAAATAGGGAGCAGAGTAGTTGAAAGGGCTGTTATTTAACTTCTGTCTTTTGTACTACTTTTAATAGCCTGATGTTCAACTGATAGAGATGTAATTTTACAGTGTAATGCTCTTACAATGTAATTGAGTTGCTGAAATGTTCTGCAAATTAAATGGACTCTGTTCAAAGTCATAGCATGAACATCATGGCCTGTGATGCACAGCAATGCAAATTCTGGAAAATGAGTTCAGCAAGGCAGAAATCTGATCAGAAGGTATGAACTGTATTTCTACAATTAAAATTATCCAGCATCCATGTAGCTAAATTACAATCACAATCTACTTGACTTTGCCTTCTCCAAATTTCCCTTTCTTTTACTTCCATTTGGGTTTGACAGGTGGGATGTCCCAGGCCATCTCCACAACTATGAAAGAATTACGGGAGTACACATACAGTGCTGACTCCAAGGACTATGTTCTGATCCTGTGCCATTCACAACGTGGAAATGCCAGAAGATAGAAAGCTGTCTCTAATTCAGGTTCTGCAGCTAACACTTTTGGTTGAATAGTGATAGTGGATTAGTTTTGAAAAGCTTTCACTGAGGAAAAATTTATGTAGCGAAGATGACTGCAGATTGGGAGCTTTTATTTAGAAACTAAAGTTTATACAAGGTGCCCTCAAGAAAGATGGAGGATTTGAGGTCAGCAATCAGAAGTAAGTCCTTTCATGTCTGGCTTTCCTATATGTGTAACATTTATTTTGCCTGTGAGACTTTAGGCATCACACACTGGAGTGTGTTTGCGGATTTTTCTCTTGCTGAACATGTTACTTCAGGTAAAGAAATAACAATAATGGAAAGAAACAGAAGATTTTGACCTAGAGGAATGAATTTTTGCATTTTCCTCTGTGATTTCCTGCTTTTTCCTAGTACTGTATGTAGGCAATATTATTTTTTAAAGAAAAACCAGGATAAGATGCTTTTAGAGCCCCACTAGGCTTGT